CGGGGGTCCGGCCGCGTTAATTCGTCGCGCGAGAAACGGCCGTTTCGCGCGGCCAGGTGAGGTGTCTCATCGGAATTCTGGAAACGACCGTGGCTGCTTTGCCCAGCCAGCCAGACGTCCGAACGAGACTCGACGGTGTTTGGTTTCATCATCGCGTATCTTGGACGCCCGCGGCGAATAATCGCCCACGAAGATTCTACGCGGACGAAATTTACGGTTGGCCACGGTGCAATTCACCCACGGAAACGGACCGTCGTTCCCAAATAAACTTGGGTAAACGGCGCGATGAATCGACCAGGCTCTCTCTCTCTCTCTCTACTATACAGATACACGTGTGTTGGACACGCGCGACTACTCTGCGCGTCCTCCTCCTCCCTCCTCTTGCTTCTCCTGTTCCTCTTCCTCCACCCCTCCAGCGTGATCTCTTCGTCCCTGGCTGGCAGGCTTTACGCTGGAAATTGTTAAATAAATCGCTAATCCCGAACTCGCCTCGTGACTCGTGCACCGACAACAAACTATTCATCCCCTTCCGCGAGCTCTGCTTTTCGGTAACGCGTCAGCGGGTATCGCGAGCCCTGTTTGCTCCTCTTCCGCTCGACGGCTCGACGATCGCGATGCCGTACGTTTTTTCTCCGATATGCTCGCGAATCTGTGAACCACCGGTTCTCCCGACCGATTTTCGAGAGACCACCGAAGCGAAGAAAGACTTCCCTGTTAAGACGATACGCGAACGAGACGAGTTCGAGAGACGGAAGCAATCGATACCGCGATACGGCTAAAGCGTTTATCTCTTCGTCGATCGAAAGAATCGAGTACTTTGCATTCCGTGCGTTTGCGTCAAACGAGATTTCTTGCCGCGATAAACGATAAGCGACTCCGATACGACGTCGATGATTTTATCGCGGTCGAATTCTGCGACAAAACTTGGACAAAAGTTGGAAACGTTCTTTGGACGATAGCTGCATCGAGCGTTCCTCGTAGCGGTGAATCGATCGATCGATAATAAGTTTTAGCCGGTCGTTCGAGATCGGCAGGCGGCCACCGAAACGTCGCGACACGGTTCGTTCAGGCAGAATTACACCGTGGCAAACTGCTCGAGCGAGACGGATTCGCGTGGCACGTTCGGCTCGAGAGCCCCGTCGGAAACGACGGAAAAAAATTATAACGATTCCGGTCGGGGTACGGTAGTCGATCGTCGACGATTTCTCTTTGGAAAACTCGCGAACGCGGATGAACGCGAGGAGAGACGAGAGGCGTCTCGACGGGAGCCGAGGACCGCGTGGGAATTCCATCGAAGGGAGCCGATCGAGAGAACGAACGCCTCGTCACGGCCAGATTAATTTACGTTTCGCGAACAAACAAGCTGCCTCTTTTAATTACTTGTCGACAGATTGATCGATCGACCAAAGTCTCTCTGTCGCGATCAGATAACGCGTTAATGCTCCGCGTAACCGGCAGGTAAGCAAACGCCGGAGCTACGCCAATTTTTCTTCTTACGCGTCGCGCACCTACCGTCCCTTTCGAGCATTCTTTACGGTTATTTCGAGGCGAATAAAGCGAGGGACATTAATAACGGGAGGATACGCTGCGAGGATCGCGATCGAACTAACCGTAACAGTCTTCCGTTTTTTTGACTCGCAGAATTTCGTGCGCGCCTCCGCTCGTAAACTTGTCTCCGCTCCCGAAGCCGCGAGACGTTCGCGACGATACGAAACTCGTCGATTCCTTTGGTCGAACGGCGAGCGAGACGATCGGTAAGGGGATAACGAGGCGGTACGTGTAAATATCGCTCGAATACGAGACGCTAGAAGCGTTTGAAACGCGTAGAGAAAGGAGGGAAAATAGAGGAAGAAGAAGAAGAAGAAGAGAAAGAGGAGGAAGGCGAGGTTCTCGTAGATCGTGGGAGGGATATTAGCAGCCGGACTCGTTTCAATCTGTCCTCCTTTGCGTCTTTGATCCGGCGGCATGCACTCGCGATCGTAACTCACTTGACGAGGTCGCTCGTAAAGTCGGCGGAAACTCGTGCTGTTCGACGAACGCGCAACGCGCGAAACTCGACCGTCCCGACGCGACGCGACGCGACTCGTCATCCGTTTC